CCCCAAAACCCCAAAACCCCAAAACCCCACAAAGAGGATAATAAAGTGAATTCTATTATATTAAAAAACTTTATTTATTTAAAAGTCATAAATGGTAAGATAGTGTTTCTCTTTTGTAATTACGTGAAATTATTTCTTGCTCACTCATAAAACATTATCTTAACCTATTTGTTTAGGATAACTTGCTTGAAAATTACCATAAACTTAAGAAAGGTTTATCTCTCACGGAGACCTTACACTTCGTTCACAAATAAGATTAATTGGGTGGTACTCAGGCCAATATCTCAGAAGTCATTGATCAAATCTATGACGAGGACCAGACCTAGTTAAATAATGATCTGCAGGTCATTACTGAAGATATATCTCAATGGGTAACTCGCTAAGAGGACCCTCCTGGTGAACTAGATGTGATCATTAGAAACAAAACAAACTTCTGACATCAGTTTACAACCAATCGGTAGAAAATCTAGAATGAAGAAAGGAAAACAGTGCCTGCTCCATTTGATGAAAATCTTCGCAAACTGAGAAATTTATGTCAACAACATAATATCTCGAGTGCTTTGGAAGGAAAAATAAAAATGACTGAGAAACAGATTCTTAATACTTACTGTTAAAATGTAGAAAGCGCTTTTCTCAATTACAAAGAGAATGGAAATATTGGCAGGACTCTCATTAACATGAATTTTAAAAAGGCACCTGAAAGAGTCAGTGGGAGAAATGCTACTTAGATATAAGAACAGGAAGAGTAAAAGTAATTTAAGTTGATGTACCAGGAAAAAAATCCCAAGTTTGTAAAATTGGTGTAGGCAATACAGAAAAAGCATACAATTGATGGAAAACCAAGAAAGAAGAAAAACAATATGACTGGATTTTCATTTTTAGATTCTAGCTACTAGAGTTAAAAGACTGGAAGAGTGGCACAGTCACTTAATAAAAATAATATTCCAGATTTGATTGGTCTCAAAGAGGAAAGCAGTATCCAGGAGATATTTGACTAGTCATTGATTAATAATGACTCTACAGTGGAAGATCTTGATATTCCTTTTTTGAAAATAGAAGACTCATAACAGTAAATTCTGGAATAAACGAGCATCAATAATAGTAAGCTGACTATAAACAAAACTCAATTTGAATCTCCCACTAAAATAGGATTGAATTTTGCAATTGGAAATGTCAAATCATTTTAAAAGCAGTAAAAAGGAGCAAGGGATCAGTTGATAAGTAAGAGCCACGAATCTAATCTTAGACATATGCTAAAGTATTCATCTGCCATGATAAGCACACCAAGAAACTATAAGAGGGTTATAGCTTCGACTTAGAAAGCAGGAGATAATTAAAAATACTAAAATATAGACACATTTGAAAATATATCTAAACTTCAATTCCCTCAAATAAATTTGGAGACAAGCGGATCAAGATTGCTAGCTGGAAAAGCATTGTTTGCAAGTGTATCTTGAAATCCTAATAATTAAGATTTAAATGACTATCAATTGAACATCAAAAGAGTTATAACTTAAAATGACTAGCATCATTCAGTCAATGAAAATCCAATCTATACCAATAAGACCTACTTTTCTAATCTTACTGATTCGAAAGAACATATGTTAAAAATCGAGCTTCAGAAAAAGATGTTGCTAAATAGGACCAACTATAAGCAGAGACCAAGATTGCATACTCAAATATCCAAGCTTAACTTTTAAAATATTGCGCTCGAGAGTCCCAGAACAAATTAAAATTCCAAATCTAATTCTCCCGATAAAGAAACACAAAACAAAAAGTCATCTTCCCCACTATGTAGATAGCGAAAGAAATTATAATAAGAATTGGTAGAATTTTAGAATGTGTCTCCCCAAAAGAAAAATCTTGATAGAGTAATGATGGGGTGTAGAGAGTATATTCATAAGTTTATGAATCAAACTGATAGAGGACTAGTGCATGAAATTGATCAAGAGATAATGAAGTAAAAAATAAGACAGCAAAAGGCTATTGAAATGGCTAATAATTTTTAGTATCTAAGTGATTACAATGCATAGATAATAAAGGCGCTATATGATGAAAGGAAGATTGAGATTTAGGATGAATGCGATACTCAAAGAAAAGTTATTGAAAATTTCTAAAATAGGAAAGTAAACACACAGTATTTTTCTATGCTTGAAAAGAGTCGGAAGAAAAATAACAATAATAGGAGTATCAATATATGACTATGAAAGAGGCTATATTCCTATCTTTCAATATAATTAATTAAGGTAATTTATAAATGTTTAAAATAAACATTATGACTCGGGGTTTTGGGGTTTTGGGGTTTTGGGG